CACGAGAGCAGAGCAACCAGAAACAGTATCTTGATCACTAGCCATGCCATTGAGAGTGTGGCCAGTGTAAGCCAGCAACAGTGTTCTGATCACCACCACACCAATACAGTGTCAGCAATGCCAGTACAAGCCAGCAACATTGTCCTGATCTTTAGCCACACCAGTCACCAGAGCCAGTGTAAGGCCTGTTCACATGGTTTACTTAAGCATACACCCTTGTGAGGGCTGTGTTTGCCTGAAAGGGGGTACACAGGTGTTCCATGCATATGTAAAATGGGTAGTGAGTAAGTTAGTGGGTGGAGGTGGTGGGGGACAAAGTAACGAGTTAAAGATATAGAAGAGCCGATGAGGACTATGTGACAAAGTAATAAGAGTGACAAAGTAGGTTTGTTCAGCAGCATGGAGGCAGTAATTGTAATTTAGGAGGGCAGGTTTGTATAAGGTGAAGACGTACAGGGATTTACCTTTACCCCACAGTCGCTCAAGAGCACTACTACGTCAATTGAGATTTCTGGTGTTGTCAGTTTGCCAAGGTCATAGCGATCGGGACCTGATTCTGTGTGTAGTTAGAGGAGCAAGTGCGTCCAGTGAGGATGAGACTGAAAAGTTGTGGATAGAAGTGGCCAGGTTTGGGCAGGACAAGGGTGAGATTTTGTCATAGAGATGGTCAGTAACAGAATAGAAAAGTGAAAGGTTAAAGTGGTTGTAAAGGATGAAAAATTTTTACCTTCATGCATTCTATGCATGAAGGTAAAAAACCTTCAGTGTGTTGCTCCCCCACAGCCCAATTTAGTACTTTTCTGGGTCTGATCTTGATCCAGCTATGTGCATGAGAGCAGCAGCTCTCTTGGGTCTCTGTATCCTTATTGGCTGAGACAAAGCAGTGGTAGCCATTGGCTCCTGTTGCTGTAAATCATAGCCAGTGAGGAGAGAGTGGAGGTGGGGCTGAGCCGTGCTCTGTGTGTCTTATGAATGCACGAGTGCCCCCAGAGGAACAGACTTGCAAAACCACAGCACAGAGCAGGTATGACTTTTTTTAATGTGTACCTTTATAATCACTATAAAGTGGCAAAACTTTCTATGAGTAGTCATTTGCTGCTTGGAGGGATAAGTATTTGAAGACTAGGACACTGTAAAGCTAATGAGATTGTAATCAGAGAGATGAAAGAGGTGTTGCAGAGGTTGCCCAGAGTGCAGAAATAGGATAATACAATGTCAAGGGTGTTTCCATCGGAGTGAATGGAAGTGTGTGTCCATTACGTTAGGTCAAAAGTTGAGGTAAAGCTGAAAAGTTGTGATGTTGCCAGGTGTTTAATATTAACAGGGATGTTAAAGTCACCAAGAATTGTACTGGGTATTTCAAAGGGAGAAATTAGGGTAAGCAGGTAGAGAAGTCATCGAGGAAACAGAAACGTGGGGAGGATAATATAAATTATAATATCTCTGTACAAACTAGATTCCATCCATTAATGGAATGGAAGGGTAAAGGCCCAATTTTACAATCACATCCCTAGGAATAGTGGAAATTATTTTTGGAGGAATTGGCAAGGAAGACTCCCAGGTTATCAACCAAGGATACCAATGTACTGTACCAGCAACAGTGTGTGCCAACCTTGTGAAGACTTACAGGAAACATTTGACTTCTGTCATTGCCAACAAAGGATATATAACAAAGTATTGAGATGAACTTTTGATATTGACCAAATACTTATTTTCCACCATAATTTGCAAATAAATTCTTTCCAAATCAGCCAATGTGATTGTCTGGATTTTCTTTCTCATTTTGTCTCTCATAGTTGAGGTCTACCTATGATGCCAATTACAGGCCTCTCTCATCTTTTTAAGTGGGAGAATTTGCACAATTGGTGGCTGACTAAATACTTTTTTGCCCCACTGTACATGTGAAAGATTACATGGGAATCCTACAAAATATGTAAAAAAAAGAACTAAACTCTTTGGTTGGTGAAGCTAAAAATAATGGTATATTAGACAGTAAAGAAGTAAATATTTAGTTCCCTCTTGTTGTAAGCTTCCAACCTTTAAAGTGGAGTTCCAGTCATTTTTGTGTTTATTAAAAGTCAACAGCTAAAAGAACTGTAGCTGCTGACTTTTAATAAATGCACACTTACCTGTTCCAGGGTCCAGCGATGTGCTCACCTGCACCATCCCTTCTCTGCCTCTTCTCTCCCAGGCGCCGGCATCTCATCTGTGGCCACCAGGCTGTGACAGCTTGCAGCTTCACAGCCAGGTGCCCACTGAAGATGCACATCCTGAGTGGTCTGGCAGTCTTTTGGGATCTGTGAAGTATCCCAGAAGACTGAGGGAGGAAGGAGGGAGGCCAAACTTCCAGCTCACTTCGCCGTGGCGAAGTTAGATGGAAGTGGGAGCGGGTACCCGTCAAAACCGGAGGGGGGGGCAAACAAGTGAAGCTTCCACTTTTCAGTGAACAAAAACGAAGAAAAAGTAGTTTTATGTCAAAAGTTTCAGGTTTTTTTTTTGTTTATTTAGCAAAAAAATAAAAAACTCAGTGGTGATTAAATACCACCAAAAGAAAGCTCTATTTGTGTGGAAAAAATGATAACTTTTTTTATGGGTACAGTATTGCATGACTGCGCAATTGTCATTCAAAGTGCGACAATACTGAAAGCTGAAAATTGGCCTGGGCAGGAAGGTGGTAAAAGTGCCTGGTATTGAAGTGGTTAAAATTGTTCATAGAGCTTATTACTCTACACAGGCTCCACAAAATGGACTCCTCCATATCTCCCGCATGCTGGCGTTGCTCACACTCCATACATGTCTTCTGGGAGTGTCCTGCTATAATGGTGTACTGACAACAGATTCTAGAGGTTATTAATTCAGTGGTACACATCCCTATTGCCTTATCATCTAGATTTTGTCTCTTAGGCATAGTCAAAAGAACTGGCCCCCAGGTTGGCAACAAGAATACTTTTGAGTCTTCTCCTGTTCTATGCCCGGAAAGCCATTGCTCTTCATTAGAAAAAGCCTTCTCCACCCTCGGTTTCATTTTGAATGAAACTGGTTAACTCAGTTTTACCCTTGTACCAAGACACTTACCGTAACAGGGGTTGCCCAACAAAGTTTAACAAAGTCTGGTCCTGTTGGTTGGGGACCTCCTCAACTGCCACTCCATCTGACACCTAAATGTACACAATTACCTAACTAGGTGACGAGGTCTCTGATTGGTCCTTACTTTTACATGTGACCTTATTTTGTGCATGAGCCTTGCAACTTGTTCTGTGATTGTTTTATTGTTTAGTTTGTTAACAGTTTTATGTACTTTTTGGAATTGTTCCTGTGCACTGGCTCCTGCATGAGCCACACCTTTGTATTGTGCCCATGTATGTTACTATTGTATATCTGTAAACTCAAATAAACAGATTAAAAAAAAATAAAATTTGCTCAAATGGTGCATTTCACAAATCTTGATTGTTGAGTATTGGGGCTTACTAGTAAAGAATATAGTTTGAAGAATTAATACTCACTACCAAACCTATCCAGGATGGTTTTGAGTTACATAACTCAAATAAAAAGGATTACACCTTAATGTACAAAGAAAAGACATACAATGCATTGGATTTGTGCATTAACCGAAATTTAAACATAAGGCTTGGAAGTAAGGACTTGAAAAACTGAAAACCAAAATACGCTTTAAGTGTTATAGCACTTCGCCATCTAGTGGTTTTCCAGTAGTTATGTTCTGTTTGAAAATAGCATTTTTCATACTCTCGGTAGTGTTTCTCAAGGTTATATTTAGGAATCACTTTCAGGTTTACTGCTAACCTTGGGTTCGATGTGACTCCTGTGGCTTTTGTGGTCCTGCTGAATTTATGAGCAGAATTGGCCAGGAGAAATTTTAAAACTTTTGAACATTGACAACTTTCAGACAAATAAGGGGGCTTTTGATTAAGATTGCCCCCTCACAATAAAAGCAGCATAGATCAGCCACAGTGCCAGTGAATTAGAAGCTATTGAAGACAAAAATGACAAACTGCAAAGGGAAAAATTAGGGTCAATTAAGAAAAGTAACTTTAAAAGAGAAGTATGGGATGTTTTTTTATTTCCATATCATATTTACCTAGGTGGATGCAGCATTGGTCTGATGCTGCATCTGTCACCCCGGCTCTAAGCGTGAGAACTCAGTGATCACATGACCGCTGATCACTGAGTTCTCACTGCCATTGCGAGCAGAGAGTGGAGTGATGACTGTCATTCACCGCTGTCTCACTGGAGCGCTGTGATATGGAGGGGGAGGCAACATTTCAGTCTCGCAGGACCCCTTCACATGCCTGATGAAGGTGTCCTGTGAGACTACAAAATGTTGCCTTGCTGTAACCATGTGATCGTTCATTAAAACTTTTGGACCCATATTGCTGATCCTCGGTGTGCTGGTGACATTCTCCCTCAATGACACAGCAGATCACCAAGTAAATACAGTTGCCAGATATCGGCTGCACTTTCCTCACCCTGTCTTTTTTCAGCCAGATTAACTATGTAACTATATAAGGAATTTTTCCTTAGCTTAATTAATGCGGTAAAATTTCAGAAAAATTAACAATAAATAGCATTTTGCTAGAAAAATCATAGTGCCCTGATGATCAGTGTTGATCTGCTCTGTGACAATTGGCACCTACCAGTGCCCAGCAGTGCCACTCATCAGTGCCGATCTGCTCTGTGACAATTGCCACCCACCAGTGCCCAGCAGTGCCACCCACCAGTGCTTAGCAGTGCCACCCACCAGTGCTTAGCAGTGCCACCCACCAGTGCTTAGCAGTGCCACCCACCAGTGCTTAGCAGTGCCACCCACCAGTGCTTAGCAGTGCCACCCACCAGTGCTTAGCAGTGCCACCCACCAGTGCTTAGCAGTGCCACCCACCAGTGCTTAGCAGTGCCACCACCAGTGCTTAGCAGTGCCACCCACCAGTGCTTAGCAGTGCCACCCACCAGTGCTTAGCAGTGCACCCACCAGTGCTTAGCAGTGCCCCCACCAGTGCTTAGCAGTGCACACCCACCAGTGCTTAGCAGTGACACCCACCAGTGCCCAACACTGACACTCATCAGTGCCGATCTGCTCTGTGATAATTGCCACCCACCAGTGCCAGTGCCACCCAGTGCCCAGTAGCACCCCCAGCAGTAACCCAGTTAGCACCCAGCAGTAGCAAGTTAGCACCCAGAAGTTGCACCCAGAAGTTGCACCCAGAAGTTGCACCCAGAAGTTGCACCCAGAAGTTGCACCCAGTGTCCAGCAGTACCGCCAGTCAGTGTTGCCAGTCAGTGCTGTCAGTCAGTGCCACCAATCAGCGCCACCCATCAGTGCCGCCTATCAGTGCCCATACATGCTGCCTATCAGTGCCCATCATTGCTGCATATCATTGTAGCATCATCAGTGCCTCCTCATCAATGCCCACCAGTGTCGCCTCATCAGTGCAGCCTATCAGTGCTGCCTATCCATGCCACCTCATCAGTGCCCATCAGTGCTGCCTATCAGTGCAGCATCATCAATGCACATCAATGAAGGAGAAACATTACCTGTTTGCACAATTTTATTATAGAAACAAAGAAATAAAAAAAAAATTTCAAATTGTTTTGCTATTTTTTTGTTTATAGTGAAAAAAATAAAAAAAACACCCAGTTATAATTAAATACCACCAAAAGAAAGCTCTATTTGTGTGAAAACAAATGATAAAAATTTAATATGGGTACAGTGTTGCATGACCGCACACTTGTCATTCAAAGTGTGAGAGCTTTGAAAACTGAAATTGACCTGGGCACGAAGGGGGTATAAGTGCCAGGTAGGCAAGTGGCTAATAGAAATGCAGGCTGACTGTCAGAAACACCAGCAAATTCACACAAAGGAAGCAATACAAAGACAACAGGATACTTTTTCATACAAGTACATGGTACAGCAGGCATATATCAAGAATATGAAATGTTGGGGTAACAAATTCTTTAAATGCATGCTGCATAAGCCTATCGACATAGGCCCTTAAAGCAACATGAAACCCAACAAAAATGTATTGTTGCAGCCTAACTGCTTAGATGTGGTGGCTACATTCATTTTCGTTTTATGTTTTTTTTTTTTCCTTTATTGTCACCTGGTGATCTGGCCAGTAAATTTGTTATTTTTCAACTTCCCTTAAAGAGTATGTAAACCCAAGATTTCATATTTTCTGATATTTGCCTGTTGTACCATGTACTTGTATGAAAAATTATTCTGTTTTCTATGTATTGCTTCCGTTGTGTGAAATTCCTGATGTTCTTGCCATTCTCTCTGCATTCTTAATAAAAACTTACTACACTAGGCATGAGAGCACAGTGTGGTTAGTTCTCTAGCTGTGCTCTCCTCCAATGACAAGACTTGTCCTGCACCCCCTGCATAGCCTTTCACTGGGAAGATTAGTGCTCTGTTGTTTCTCCTTCCCCAGTTCTTCTGCAGCTGATAACAGAGGGTATGTAATCACCTATAAAAGAGAGAATAAATTGTTTATAATTTTTTTGTATATCCATACACACATATTTTGCATTTCATTTCTATTTTAAACTGAATGGGTTGTTTTACAAGGTGAGGGGTTACATATACTTTAACAGTCCAAGCTGTTCAGCAAAAGTGGCAGTTCGAAGGTTGAGACAAACCATTTAATACTGACAGGGATGCATACAATAACCAGCTTTTATTCATTTATGTAAAACATTTACCCAAAATTCTGGGGGCCCTGCCAACCATTGACTGCAAAGGTGATCAAGGTTGGAGAGAAGCCAGAGCACAGGCAATGGCTGCCAGTAGGAATCCTCAATGGGTATACTGTGTGAGAGCACGCATTGCACCCATTGAGGATACCCCACTGAGTGGAGCCCAGTTCGGGATCATGCTCCAGCACTGGCACCAAGACTCCGGCCCAGATCTCTGTGACAGATTTACTTAAAATCCCGGGGTGGTTGGGAGGTTTGTGCCCGGGTTTCAGACTCTTGATTCAAAACCCACACTGTCCAAGTGAATCCTGGACAGGCGGAAACCCTATTGCTAGTGCTTCTACCTCTACCTCAGATCAGCAGTGCTGCTTTCTAAAAATGACTCTGCTGCTCCTCCATCCAGGTGAAGACACCATTCACACCCTTCAGGGAGTGTTTTACTGGCCAGACCACCAATTTAAAATGTGGTAGCATCCAGATATTGTAGAGTTGCCCTTTAAACTGTAACATTTCTAACAGTATCTGCTTGCAAGGTTTTTGGCTCATCTTCCTCCCTCCCTTATTTCCTGTGAGTGATTTGTATCAGCTCATAGCTGGGATTCTTATCTGCAGCTGCTGTCCAAGGTTATTCTGCAGAGTTTAGAAAGCCTGTTGAAAGTAATAGAAAGTGAAAGAAGAAATGTATGCCTTATGACATAATCATTGGTATATACGCTTGTAAGAATTTTTTTCTTAGCAGATGAGAGCACAAGCCATCCGTTGAGTCAAAACAGCGCTGTTTTTAATAAATCATTTGCTTTCCTCATGTCCGGAGTTCTCTGGTTTGCCAAAATTGCTACTACAAAAATAAAATAAAAAAGCCTGAAAAAAAGAAAGCAAATACAGCCACCAAATTTAAAGTTTGGCATTCTGCAATATTACATTTTTATTTGCTTGTCCTCCAGCAGATTTACCCCCCTTCCTGACCAGGCCATTTTTTCCAATACGGTGCTGTGTTACTTTAACTTACAGTTGTGCAGTCATGCAACACTGTACATAAATGAAATCTATGTCCTTTTTTTCCCACAAATAGAGCTTTCTTTCGGTGGTATTTGATCACCTTTGTGTTTTTTATTATTTGCGCTATAAACAAAAAAGACCGACCATTTTGAAAAAAAAAATCAATATTTTTTACTTTTTTTTTATAAAACATATCCAGTAAACAAAATTAAAAAATCAATTTTTTTTATAAATTTAGGCCAAAATATATTCTGCTAGATGTCTTTGCTAAAAAAAAATCCCAATACATGTAAATTAACTGATTTACGTGAAAGTTATAGCGTCTACAAATTGCGGGATATATACTGGAATTTTTATATACTAATAATGGTGGTGATCAGCGACTTATAGCGAAACTGCAGCAGCATTCTGACACTGGGTGAAAACGAACTGCCACTGACATCCCAATGGCACTAATACAGTGATCAGTGCTAATAAAAAGCACTGACACTGTACTAATGACACGGGGCAAGAAGGGGTTAACATTTGGGGTGATCAAAGAGTTAACTGTGTGCTGTTTAAAATTATGTGCTGTGTGTGTTTTACTAGGGAGACATTCTGCTTTGTATCTCTCTCCTGTGCAGACATACAAAGCAGCATGTCCTTGCTGGCAGGAGTGAGACCTGTGTTGTTTACACACAGGTCTCTCCCCTGTCAGCTTTATTTGGCGATCGCCGGGGAATCTCCATCCAGGCCCCGGTGATTGACATCCCTAGCCGCCAATAGCGTGCGTGCCCTCTACCCAGAAATGCAAATCAGGTATATACACATGATTTGCGCAGCCCTGCCGCCCTGTAGCAGTAGTTCTACTATACATCATAGGGCAACGTCAGTGGTATTTTTGCAGGAGACACATTTTGAGATAGAATCTAATGTGAAACTAAAATCCAAATATTATCCTACATGGTATTACGCTGACTCTCCAATTAAAAGAGCAAAGGGGGTGGCAATAGGATTGGCAAAAAATATGAGATTTGAGTTGGAAGATAGAAGGACTGACCCGAAGGGAGATTCCTGTTTTTGAAAGGTAAACTACAGGGAATTGAATGCACACTAGCCAATATATATTGCCCCAACAAGAAACCTGAGATCTTTCTGAAGGGTTTGCTAAAAAAATTGATAGATTTTAAAAAAGGGCATTTGATAATAGCAGGAGATTTGAATCTCTGTATGGACCCACAAATGGATGCAACCTCCCTTGTGCAGAGAGAAGGGGGTAGGTCCCCGAGAGCTTTGAGGAAGGTGATCCACGAGTACCAGCTGGTGGACACCTGGAGAATAATGCATATGAAGGACAGAGACTATACCTTCTTCTCTAATGCACATGAGATATACTCGAGACTGGATTACATTCTAATAGATCATCAACTCATTGAAATGCTGGTTAAAATACAAATAGAGACAAGAACTTTTTCGGACCATGCCCCAGTCGTAATGAAAATAGGATGGGGAAAAAGGTGGACGGGAGGTTTAGGATGGAGGTTAAATGAGGCTCTTCTCTTGGATGAGGATATTGTGCAGAAGATCAGGGAAGAGATTAAGGTATATTTCCAGGAGACTGAAACAGAGGAAGTATCGACAGCTACAGTATGGGAAAGTCACTGGTGTGGTTACAAACATGGTGAAGGCAAGAGAATGGTCCAGGAAGACAAGAGAAGAGGTGATTTCTCTTCACAGGAAGGGCAATGGCTATAAGAAGATTGCAAAGATGTTAAACATACCAAGAGACACCTTAGGAAGCATCATTCGCAAATTCAAGGCAAAGGGCACTGTTGAAACGCTACCTGGTCGTGGCAGAAAGAAGATGCTGACTTCGACTGCTGTGCGCTACCTGAAGCGTAGAGTGGAGAGAAGTCCCCCGTGTGACTGCTGAGGAACTGAGAAAAGATTTGTCAGATGTGGGTACAGAAGTTTCAGCCCAGACAATAAGACGCACACTGCGTAATGAAGGCCTCCGTGCCAGAACTCCCAGGCGTACCCCCTTGCTGTCTCCAAAGAATAAGAAGAGTCGACTGCAGTATGCCAAAAGCCATGTGGACAAACCACAAAAGTTTGTGGATAGTGTTCTGTGGACTGATGAAACAAAATTAGAACTGTTTGGGCCCATGGGATCAACGCTATGTTTTGGAGGAGGAAGAACAAGGCCTATGAATGAAAAGAACACCTTGCCTACTGTGAAGCATGGTGGAGGGTCAATCAATGCTTTGGGGCTGTTTTGCTTCTGCAGGTACAGGGAAGCTTCAGCGTGTGCAAGGTACCATGAATTCTCTTCAGTACCAGGAGATATTGGATGGAAACGTGATGCAGTCCGTCACAACTGAGGCTTGGGAGACGTTGGACCTTTCAACAGGACAATGATCCCAAGCATACCTGAGATCTCCAAGTCCACTAGAGCATGGTTGCAGAGGAAGGGCTGGAACATTTTGGAGTGGCCATCGCAGTCACCAGACTTAAATCCGATTGAGAACCTCTGGTGGGACTTAAAGAAAGCAGTTGCAGTGCGCAAGCCTAAGAATGTGACTGAACTGGAGGCCTTTGCCCATGAAGAATGGCGAAGATACCGTAGATCGCTGCAAGACACTTGTGTCAAGCTATGCTTCACGTTTAAAAGCTGTTATAACTGTAAAAGGATGCTGTACTAAGTACTAAGATTGAATGTCACTTGGGGGTTGAATAAAACTGATAATGCGCATGTGAGCACAGAAAAGACATTTGTGGTTATTTCATTATAACTGTTATGTTATATTTGTCTGACCTACAAGTGCCTCTTTAATGTAAATGTAAGC